TAAGCGTGTGTACCTATATATATGTAGCAAATTTACAGAATGCATATATGTGTGCATGTGTGTTTATATATATTTTCCTTGGGTCCTTATAAACACACATATATGAATGTATACACACAGAAACACACATATATACTGTAATTTTGGTACATAGATACGACAGTGAGTTCAGATGTGTCTGTCTATATATAAAGATAGTACACGCATATACATATATGAGGGGGGTACCAAAAAAAATCCTGAAGGTTTTTTTCCAAAGCTATGTATTTAAAGTTTTACAAAATGTATTATCACCTTCAACGTACTCTCCATTACAGTTAATAAATTTGACAAATCCTCAATTTCCTTCCTGGAAACAATCCTCAAACTCATCTGTTTGGATGGCCAACAGCAGCTCCCTTGTTTTTTCCTTCACCTCTTTTACTTCCATCAAATCACTCACTGTTGTTTCATGTCATTCTTCACTCGTGGAAACAAAAGAGAAGTCGCATGGAGTGAGGTCAGGTGGTACACCGGGCAAGAGAGGCATGCTGTTTTTTGCCAAAAACTAGCCCTCTGAGATGGCTGTGTGAGCAGGTGCACTGTCGTGGAAGCAAAACCACTTCCCTGTCTGCCACGAATCAGGCCTATTTTGTCACACACTGTAAGGCAATTTCTTCAGAACATCTAAATAAAAATCTTGATTAACACTCTGACCTGGTGGAATGAACTCCAAAAACACTATGAGTAAACATTTTCATCCATTTCAGGAACTTTACAGATGTTATTATAAACTGAAATTTCACCTTTTTGGAAACCAGGAAACCACCTGTACACTTGAGTTTTTCCCATAGTCCTCTCCTAGTAAGCTATGTTCAATAGCACAACAGTTTCTGGGGCATTTTTCCTAAGCAGGAAACAAAATTTCACAGCCACATGCTGTTCTCTCAAGGTTCAAATGAAACTGCTTTTATGAAAAAAAATTCAGTGACCAGAGAAAACCTTCCCAGGCAATGCCACTGGGGGCACTAACTCAGAGCGGGTTGATTGATGCTCACCTGTGGGAAGAATGCATGGTACGAAGCTTCTCCTTTTTCCACTTTTGGGGTGGGTACTTCCTCATATATATTTGCATATATACGTATATACACGATACAAGGAGCTAAATGACTCTCCTCTATTTAAGTCCTTCACAATCATGAGGAATATAGGACATAGTTAAGAAGCGTATGAGAATAAAATACAGAAACCCTAGGCATTATGAAAGTAGGGCATTGTGGGTAAAAGTGTAATGCTTAGTTGCTTGATATTTAGTTCCCATGATAGCTAGCACAATGAAATCGCTCCTTCCCACCCTTCCTCCCTTCCTCTCTAGACTCTCCCACTTCACTTTTTCACAGGGGTTATCGGGTGTCTCCAACTACTTTTGTCCTTTGGAGTCCCCCTTTCTCAATCTCATCTCCACTTTAACATCATAACTGAGTTTAGTACAGATGTCACTCATAGAAACCTCTAGACAATTTTGGGGCTTCTCTGGAGACCAAAGTAGTAAGACGGAGGCAAGTGCATATTGAGCTGCTTGGCCCAGGGCCCCTTCTCCTGCTTCAGCCAGAAGAGTCCACGACTACTATTCCTGGAGAATAACTAATCAGTCAGGTCGCATTCCTCTCTTTAAAGCAAGTTTGGATTTAACCTGCTGATATTTGCTTTTGGACTTTGGCATCAATAGGCACAATTTTAGGTTGTAGTTATTTTTGTATCAATCTACTTTCCCTATTCCACTATAAAGGAAAAGGATCTAAAAGGCAAAAACAAAAATCAAAACAAAACCCTCCTTAAGCATCCAGAAACAAAGAGAGAAACGCGTGCCTTGATGGACCCTTACATGAAATAAACTCATACTAAAACTTTTATTAATTTCTCACTTGGTGAATTAGAGAACTTCAAAGAGTATTTCTAACCTCTGTATCTTTAATTTATGAAAATATATTTCTATTGTATATCAGTGGATATCATATATTTTAATTTTTTTTATTTTTTCATGAGCCTCACATTATTATTCAACAGAGAATAAGATTCTAATATTGCTATACTTGTGTTCATGCTGAGTCTTTGGCACCATTTTCTTTGTAATTCTATCCTTGAGAATGAAAGAGTCGATATATTCCGACATCTTTTTCTCCTAGCAGTGGAAGTGTTACTTCCCTGAAGCAGATACACAGGCTATATAATGATTGTTATGTGCTTAGTGATCCTTATAATCAGAAAAAGTAGAATGTTCTCTGATAATTCTTAAAATTGGAAATGAACCGCATTTCATTTAGGAAAACAGCAAGTTCACGTTAAAGGTGACATTCTCTAAAAGCATGTAAGGACTACAATATCTGTACTTAACCCTGGGAAGATATGTTGCATTACATCCACGGAATAGAAAGATGGTTATTTTATACAAAGTGGGAAAGTCACATCTACATTATCTTTTCACTTAAGTAAAGATGCCTAAGGACACCTTTCTCCAACCCAATGCATGACATTGATTTTTCATTCTGTGAATTTGCTATAGGATATGTCAACATGGACAAATCAGACAGTGTGGTGAGGAAATGAAATATATCGATCCTATTTTAAGGGAGGAAAGTGAGGTAACATAGTACAATTCTCTTCTTATCTTGAATTTAAAAGCATAATGCTTATAAAACACCAAACAACCTAGGTGACAAAGTTGTAACTATGTGAATGTTTCTTGCCTTCCAAAAACCAAAACTAGTTCTATCCCAGAAGTGGTGGTCATCCTCACACAAGGTATTTTTTTCTTTTATCTGTTTTGTTTTTATGACTAGATATCCTTCTTGTTGAAGGAATTTTTAGAGAAGAATATTTTTTATTTATGTGAAAACTATTGCAGGTCAGAATCACCTTTTCTTGCTTCATTATTTCAATTTAATTCAATGCACTTACTGAATGCATACCAAGTACAAATAGGACTAAGGTGCATACTTTGTCCCTAAATGCCCTTTCACTTTTTGGCTGTAGGATGTGTGACAGTTACATAATTTCATGTCAACTTGAAGATATAAAAGTGGGTGGGTGGGTTCTACCCTGTCAACCAGGTCACAGGCTGATAGTGCCTCCTCGTGGGCATGGTCTTCTCATAAGGAAGGTCCTAGGAACCTCCATCTCTCTCTCTGCCTTCATCTTCCTGCTGGCTGACTCTGTGGAGGACCGGAGCCCTGTGATACGGCCCCCACCATTAGTGCCACACAACTTTGCACCCCATCTTACGATCTTCCTGAGTTCTGCATCATTGCATGTGGCTGCATGAGACTTAAGAGTGACTTCTGGACTTGAGCTGGGTTGGGCTGGGATGTGTGTGTATATATAACTATATATATATAACTACTTCTTCATATAAAACTCGTTCTTTCACATATGGGAGTGTGACTGGATTTGTTTCTCTAGTAAAACTGGTCTAACTCCAGGAGGAAAACAGTGAAGATTGGTAGGAAAGAGTTAAAGTAATTCTTTACAAAATCAACTGTATGGAAAAGATAAATTAAATACTGAAATAAAATTTAAAAAGGAACTTGATGCTATTGGATCAATTCTGACTCATAGTAACACTTTCGAACAGAGTAGTACTAGCTCACAATGTTTCTAAAGCTGAAATATTTATGGAAAAAAACTGTCGCATAGTTTTCCCATAGAGTGGTTAGTGGATTCCAACTTTTGGTGAGCATCCAAGTATTGAAGGCATGCACCACCACAAAGTTCCTGTATGCAGACATAGAAACGGAGTCACAGAGAGAATTTGAGAAGACATCTAGATTCGGTCAGAAAACAACAGCGATGGCGTAGGAAGTTTTATAGATCAATAGGTGTTTTAGGAGGAATAACGTCAAGGTAGAATGAAGGTCCAGTGTTGAAGACAGACAAATGCCAGCCCTGAGATGTTGTGAATCTCAGAGGGTAAGTATTTTAGAAAATTTTGGAAGAAGGTAACATAGCATGAATTTAAAATAGGGCCTGAGGGGTAGTCTATAGTACCAGCAATGCTAATGTGTTGAATTTTCTTCTACAAGAGAGAATGTACCCTCCCCGGGGTAAGCACCCCACTGAGAGGCATGGGCACCAATACGAGGACACTGATGACCAGGGAGGGGATCCTTGTCTGCACAGCAATGACATGTCTGTAGGTCTTGGCAAATGGAAAAATCAAGCTTGAGTTATTAGAGTTATGAAGGGATGAATGGATAGCTTTGTTATCATACTGAACAACCAAATTATAACAGAAAAATAAAATATGAATATGTATATATATAAATAAATGTATGCATTATATTTCTAGTGAACCCTGGTGCACAATGCTTAGAAACTAGGCTTTTAAAGGAATGCTTGACAGTTTGAAGCCACCTTGAGGCTCAGAGTGAGGGACAATTGAAAATCGGCTCCCCAAAGGATTACAACCCAATCAACCCATGTCTATTATAAGTATTTAAACCATTGCATGTATTTAAGCCAGCGTGTGTTTATGTGTGTGTATATGTGTGTGAGAGAGAGGACAGAGACAGAGGCAGAGAGAGACAACTATAGGACAGGACAGAGCTCCTCTGTGAATTTCCAAGACTATAATTCTTTGCAGGAGTGAAGTCCACCTTTTTCCCTGGAGCAGATGGTGGTTTGGAACTGCTCATCTAGCAGTTAGCAGCCCAATGTGTAAGCACTATGCCACCAGGGCACCTATGTCTGAAACGGAGGAATGGATACTAAAATAGTAGATAATGAGAGTAATAAAATAATGATGATGAAATGAACATATTCAGGAAAGATTAAGTGAAAGAAATGTAACATAAACAATTCATGAAAACCAACTCTTATCTAATTAACAGGAAGTGAGGCATCACCTCCATTATAAGTATACATAAAATGTTGGCTGACTATTTGCTTGAACAAGTACTTTAATATTCGTATGTTGAGTAAGGTGAAAATGCTTTCTAGAGAGATCCTGTATAATAAACACTTACCCTGAGGCTGACGGCTGGGGTGATAAATCTGAAGGTCGAATGGCTGTGCACTGGTTTTCTGAATCACACTGACATTCTGCCCCGTCCACTTATTGGCTTTGGACAATGTGTTAGTTCTCCAATCTGTCCAATAGACTTCGCTCCCAAACAGAGACACAGCAAAGGGATGGGAAAGGTATTCATGACCTCGGATGATTTCTATCATTCCTGTCCCATCATAGAGGGCAGAGTAAATTGCATCCGACCTACAGAAAAGTAAACACATCAGCGCTTTATCAAAATCCATTCAAATAGCCCAGTACAGTAAATCCATCATTAATTTAGATGATACAATATTTAGTAAACATTTTAGGGGCTTGTATCTGATTCATGAAAAACCTCACCAATAACAACAAAACAGAAAATAATTAACATGACAATAAAAAATAAACCACCAATTCCAATGTGTTTGTACATGAGCCATGCACGGTAGGAAAGTGGAAGGTAGCATAACAAAGAGAGCATGTCTTAAACCTGGCATCTGTCCAAACGATCCTTCGTTCAAAGTGGTCCACGGTTAGTCCGTTAGGCCAAGCCCCGGTTTTCATGTCTTTGTAGATGGTTCTTCTGCCCGCACCACTCATAGAGGCAGACTCAATGCGAGGGAAATTTGCATCCCAGTCTGTCCAGAAAAGAATCCTGAAGACAACGGAATATTGTTATTTCAGTCATTCATTTAAAAAATATATTTACTGAGTGCATAGAATATGTTAGATCCTGGGTAGGTACACAGTTGTGAAACAAACAAACAAACAAACAAGATTGCCTTTGTGGATTTAATGTTCAGTGGGAAAGATAGACTAAATAAATATATGAATATATATTTGCAGCTTCTAAGAAAATTATTGCTATTATAGGGACTAGCAAGTCGCTGCAGTACTGTATTAGTCTGAGTGATTTGGAGAAACAAATCCACAGCAACTCATGTATAAGAGAGAGTTTTATTTAACGGTTAAGTGTGCATCAAGAAAACATCACAACCCAGTGCTGCTCAGCCCACAAGTCCAACAATAACCCATATGTCCAGCACCAATCCACAAAGTCCTCCTCCATCTCACAAAACACACGCAATGACACTGACTGCAGTAGGAAAGTTGAATCGTGAATGTGTAAGCATCTCAGCGCTGGCAGGGGTCTCCACATGGCTGCTCCAGCACCCAGGGCTGCATCGGGGTAGGTCCATATGGCTTCTCCTTGGGGATGTCTTTCAGGAAGTCAGCCTTGAAAGCTGAAGCAGGGAACTGCTAAGGCAGCTGCACCCTGGTGCAACCATCACAAAGCAAGAGACCTGAGAACTAGAAAGGTCAGGCTCATTGAGCCATTTATCCCTCCACCCTTTAATTAATCCCACATGTGTTTATCGGCCAGGTTGGCACAAGACACTTTAACTAACCCAAGTACTTAGAGAAAACAATCAGGAAAAATGAACAAAAACAATCTGAGAAGGTATTGTTTACACTGAAGGACAGGACAGAATATGAAAAGCAGCACAGGCAAAGAAAGAGCATCGACAAAGGCCCTTACAGGGGAATGGAGGTGGCCTAGTTGAGGACCAGAAGTAAGGCCAAAGTGTTAAACTAGGAGTACAGGGTCTGTGAAGATTGTTGAGGAAGAGGAAGTTGAAGACTTCCTTTGGACCTTGTAGGACAATGTAATTATTTTGGATTTTTTGTTGGAATGATATATAAATTATTCTGGCAATTATGTAAAGAACAGAGAGGTAAATATATGACCTGCTAGTGTCCTAGACTAAAAAGAAGGAGAGAGTGTTTATTTTGGAGTTAGGGCTCCTGGGACTTGTAGATGGATTTGAGATAAGGGATGAGGTGTAAGGAAGAATAATGGGTGTCAGTGTTTGTTGTTGTTGTTGTTGTTTCCCCCTTAATGAGGGTAATTAGAAGGCAATGTTGTACAAGGGCAACATTAATTGAAATGGGGAATCTTAGGGAAGGAACAGATTGCAGGTGCTGGGCCTTGAAGGGGAGTTGCCGTGAACAATTCTCACTGACCCTGCAGGGCAGGGAAGAACTGCCCGTGTGGGCTTCCAAGACCGTAACTCCTGCTGGGAGTAGAAAGCCTCACCTTTCTCTGTAGACAGCAGGTGATTTCGAATCACTGACCTTGTGATTAGCACCAGTGGTGAGCGGTTATGCCATATGGCTGCTAGCCTCAAGTTCAGCAACCAAAAAACGCCAGCTGCTCCGCAGGACAAAGATAAGACCTTTCACTCCCTAAAGAGTCACATGCTCAGAAACCCACAGGTGCAGCTCGGCTCGGTGCTGAGAATCACGGTGAGTCAGTGTCAATGCCATGGCAGTGAGTCTGGCGGGTCTGAGTTATGAACAAGAAGCTAAAGGGTACCTGTAAACTTTCATAAATGGGAGTTTTAATAGGTCAGAAAGAGATGTCCATGAAGCTAGTGTGCCACACGGGGTGTTGCTTGAGAAGAGGTGAGAAGTCAAGGGCAGAGAAAAGAACTTGAAAGTCATTAGTGTGGAAATGATATATAGACCCCTACATTATGTTATACAGTAATTTGATAACTAAAACTATACAATTGTTTTTAATATTTTTATTGAAAGGTCATTTTAGTTTGTCAAAAATTTCATGTACTCTCTATTAATAATATGCGAATACTTTTGTGTCATACCTACTAAATACTTCATATTGCATATTTGATTTCTCTGACTGACAGGTTGTGTTTAACTGACTGTGATCTAAAACTGTTGATGTAAGTTTCTACAGTGAATATATAATATAGTTATGAACAATTCTACAATCACTGACTAGCTAGAATTTTTTAGTGCTTATTATGTTATAAGTACAGCTTTCAGTGTTTTACTTAAATTACCTAACTCCCACTGCTCCAAGGTCATTTCTGTAGTAATCAATATTTTGCCGACTCGAGGAGAATGTGAAGAACTTAATCAAGCTCACATGGCTAGCAATGGTGGGTAAGTTGGAAACCCAGCAGGCTGACCCCTGCTTTTATGCTCTCCACCCCTAACTCTTTGCTGCGTCGTTCAATAAAACAACGAACGGAAAGCACCTAGGGCAAGTGCAGGAGCTTGGTTGGCAGTTAGTACATAGACGCTGTCCTCTCTATGTTGGCGTAGGACCCCCTGGGAAGGATGGAGGTTTGGAAAGTTGGTTTTGGTTGTTAGGGACCCTTGAGTCGGTTCCCACCCCCTAGTGAAATGTAAGTTCAACAGAGCAAAACTCTACCCAGTCCTGTGCCGTCCTTGAACTTGTTCGTATGTGTGAGCCCATAAATGCAGCGACTGTGGCAATCAGGGGAAAGTGCCCACCAGGTTTTAATTCTTAGCAGTTCTGGGGACATGTTTGTGACAAACACTAAAGTGACTCATAAATAATGACTCTCTTCTTCATTAAAGGAACCTTGGTTATGTAGTGGGTTACACATTGAGTTGCTCAACACAAGGTCAGTGGTTCAGATCCACTAGCTACATCATAGGAGAAAGATGAGACTTTCTATTCCTATAAAGAAGTTCCTATTCCTATAAAGAAGTAAAGTCTTGGAAACCTAAAGGGGAGTTCTACTCTGTTCTGCCGGGTTGGTAAGAGTCAGAATATACTTGATGGCAGTGGTTTTGGCTCTTCATTATAAGGACATGTATTGTTGTCAAATTTGACTCTTCAAACTTTTTATGACCATTAAGCATAATATTTGATTGTTTTTCTGAGAAGATGAAATAATTCTCTGCAAAATAACTCAATTTACCATTGCATCCTTCACCCCACCTACCCCTTTTTTAAAATCTATTATGATTTAGCACAAAGTAAATGTGGACTGATACACACTAAGCACCCATCATGATCTAATTTTTAGGAAGTATACAGTCTCACAGAAAATAAGAATTGTGATCATGAAATGGTTAATAAGACAATTCAAAATGTTATACAGTAATTTCATAAATAAGTGAGCAAAATATATGGGGGTCAGGCAGGGAAGACAGCAATTGTATTGATGAAAGTACAATTTCATATACAACCGAAGGCAATGGACTACAACAAACATTGTAGTTGAACAACTGTGTCAATGTTGGATGGTGATATTCTTGTTTCAAGGCTTTTAACAATTAACAATGTTGGATGGTGATAGTCTTGTTTCAAGAGCTGTATATAGTTTTTAGTGTCAGACAAACTCGAACTTAAGCCTGAGATCAGTCAATTGTAACAGGATATTTCCTCTCAGACTCTTGCATCTTATGTGGGAAAAAAGACGGTAATAGTATTTACTTCTGAGTAGTTCTTGAGGAGATAATATATGTTAAAATATTTAGCGTGCAGGATGATCAGCACAGAGAAAAGATATATGTTTATGTATGCATGCACATACATATTTCCAAAGAATTTGCCTCTTTAAAGACAGCATTCAAAAATCTTCACAAATAACTCACTATATGGGGATGGAGAAACGGATGGACACAGGAAAGGCACAGAGGGAGATGAGGAAGGAAAAGAAAAGAAAAATGACTATTAATATGATTGTTTGAATGCAATTATGACATGTGTGTGAAAGTAAATTAACTTCAAAAAGGAACATGATTCAAAGTCTTGAAAAAAATTAAAGCAATATTAGAGGATTGGTGTTACCACAAAATGTCCTTGTGGGATTACAATAAAAATCTTTTAAAAGAAAAAGAATTTTCATTTCTTGGAAAGTTTTAGGAGCTGGTCCAGCCCAGGTGTTGGAAAAACAAAACTCATTTTTTGACTAGTCAACATTTTAATAAATTAAATAAATTATTAGGAAAGAGTAAAATGGCATTAATATAAGAGGGCATTTATGAAGCTTTTATTGTTGAAAATAATTTTGCTGAAGAGACCAATGTTTATAGATAAAATTGTTTTGTATGGAAAACAAACAAACAAATAGCATCATTATCTATAAATGTTGGTCTGAATAACTTATAGGCAAAAAAAAATAGAAAGAGAGAGAGCGTAACAATATATGGCCAGTCACAGAAATGAAACATGGTTTAGTTTAATTAATTAGCATGAAGCAAAGAGCCTGCTAAGTTGAGTGGGTAAATGTTTTTCTTGAAAGCAATGAATATGAAATAAATTATGTCTCTTCAAATTTAGTTTTGGGTGCATGAATCTCTGAATTTATACCAGTTTGTTATTTCTCCACTCCCTTTTAAACATAGCCTTGAAATAAGATTTAAAATTAAAAAATTAAAAAAAAAAGATCAACAAAGCTCAATCAAGTTTGAGATGATAGCTCAACACACAAGGTGGAGAAGACAGACTTGCAAGTTTGGAAAAGTTATCGCTGAAAAGAAATTTAGTGAATTTGGAAGTCACGGAGATAGCCTGCAATGGTAGGTAAGCCATCACTTGATCTAAATAAGATAATGGAGGCATTAGTGATTAAGGGTCAGACTACAAGCTAAAAAATTGGTGATTCGAACCCACCCAGGAGTGCCTGAGAAAAGAGACCGGGTGATCTAAAGTTGAAGGGCATGATGGCTTTGAAAATCCAGATTGACACTGCCCATATGGAGTTGCTCTGAGCCAGACTTGGCAAATAGCATCCAAATCCGGAGAAATCTGTTCTTCTCACTCGCATGTCTGCACCAAGATTACAACGACATTGCTTTCCACTTGCATCA